GTTGTGGGTGTACAAGTGCGTGCTTCATTGCCAATCTATATTCTACAACATCTGAGTTGTTTGAAACCGCCGGCTGATGTCGTTTTAAAGAGATCGACACAAGTGGTGTGTCATCGCAGCCTTTGCGAGGGAAAAAAAAAGAGCAAAACTGGGGAGTCTTGGCAAGATGAGATCAGTCATTTCCTCTCCTTCAACTTCGCCTTGAGCTTAACCCAGTGACCCCGAGATGTGTACTTTTGTAGGAATCTTAGGGCTTGCACTTGGCACGGACTTGGACGCCAGTGACTGATGGATGAAGAGTGTGCTTTTCTTGCAGTGCTAATGCCAAGACTGAAATAAGAATTTAATGTGTGACGTTTGTTTATACTGTAAAACAGCATGCCCTCACATTTTGTCTGAAACCAGAAATCTGTTGATTTAGATAGGGAAAAATATCTCTTTCATTATGTGAGGATTTTGATGTGACAGTATTTTTGTCATTAAATCAAGGAAACTGATCTTAAATGTTCATGGACAATTGGGTCATTCCATGTCGATTCAACACGCTTTTGGTCCTGACTGTCGCAGACTGAAATGAAATTTAGCGTGCTGATTGCATACCTTGAGAAACCTAAAGAACCGAAATTTTAGGTCAATCAGTCAATTAGTTGTTGAGATGTGTGTTAACAAACTTTTGACTAAATTACGGTAGCTTGACCTGCTTTGTTTGGACAGCCATATCTATAAGTATAACACCCACAAAGAAAAAGTTGGCGTGTACCAGTACATCATTTTGAAGCTCTTGAAATGGCCTTCATTTCTAAAATAAAATCAAAATCATCCATGTTTTACCCAAAAAATGCATATATATGACGTTTGACCTTGATCTGCATCTGTAATTTTTTTCATTGTTAACTTCAGATGTAACCAACATTTCAAGAAAGATTTAGGATTTAAAACTGAAATTGTACATTTACGTGTACAAAGTGTACACGTGTGAACAGTTGCTGTACATTTACAAATATGTATACAATATATATGTGCAATTAAAACATATGTTACCCTGGCAACGCAAAATACCACTCATGACGTAATCCCTCTGACCCCCTTGGAAGCCTTGAGACATTGGTCACTACCAAGTGTCATCTTGTATTAGGTGCAGTGTTTATGGTTGTGGGGGGGGTCTGAATCCTACATTTTCCCCCATATCATTGCAGTGCTTGTTTTAGGAACAAGGAAATGAATTTTTCGTAGAATCACTTCTTGTGTATGTCTGTACTCATCTTCCATGTATGAAGACTGTTTGACATCTTTCTTGAGTTTCATGAACTGAACGGTGCACTTTTTCAAACATTAAAAATTGACCAAGTATTTCTGGACAAGTGCGGACGCTATTGCTCTGATGTAAATCCAGGAAGACATGGTCAAGGTTGCATGTTTTCATGTTTAAATTGTGAATCCCAAATTTGCTATCTAGGAACATTTCTATGAAAAGAATTTTTGCTTGATTATCGTCATATACTTACACAGCAATAAATTGCCAAAGAAAATAAAATCTGCTATTGCAGTAGTTACAAAATCTAGAAATTTCCTGTGCACAAATCAGTGCAACACGGAAATTCAGCGCCTTGGATGACATCACAGTTCTGCTTATGAATATAGAAATATTCATTAGCTTAAAACAAAAAAGTGCGTCTTCAGCCCGGTCTTAAAACTCTCCACACTCCTAGACTCTCAAAGATGAACTACATACATACGTGTAGGCCTACATACCTGTTGTATGCTACACTGTACATGTACATATGTACAGTGTACGTGTATAATTCATATTCATTTCACATCCAAAAGCATGTATAATTGACACGAATGATCCATTTTGCTTATGTGGACATTTACGTCGTCACGCATGATTTTATTTGAGATCGATTGGTTGCCAAGAATCACCCTTAATCTTGTAGACAATTTCAGATAGACTATTGATTTTTCAGATAACTCTGTATGCCAAAGGTCTGTGAATTACAGAACCGCCTTTTATTTATTCTTGGCCGTCTCCAAGTGGGCAGCCTTCTGGAAATTGAGAATATCTTCTGTAGCAATTTGTCGTTCTAGCAGGTGCAAAAAGGTGAATACATGTACATGTACACTGCATGGGCATTATATTAAATAAGAGGTTCATTATATTTAATAAATACTGATTGGATTCCTTGTAAATTGATTTTTACAGTGCATAGGCCTATACAGTACAGGAATTCTGATGATCTGTATTAAAATAAAATAAAAAATAAAAAAACAATTATATCAGACCAGTGGTAACAGAATGGATCATTAGATTTACTGGTGTGATATCGTAAATGATAGATGTTCAACCAAATGTTCAAATGGAACCTGTGTTTCACTTTTGTGTAAGCTGAATCTTTGTGCATTGTATGATCCAAATTGAAACACCTTATCTAACTACCCATCACTGTTAATCAAGTGTTTTTTTTACAAAGAAATAACCCTGTTCAGCCGAAACACATTTTGGTACCAGTCTTACCTGATCGAGAATGCATTGAATCAAGCTTTTGTTCCTAAACTAAAATTTAATGTTAGAACTACAAACTTGGGCTGTAAACATAATAACCTATCAGCTTGATCTTGTCCAACCTGAAAGAACTTGCAAAAGAAAAAGAAAAAAAATACACTTTGGGATTTGAACCAAGAACATCCACAATACTTATCTTCTGTGCCCACTATGCTACGCAAGCCAGCTCAACCAAACTTTTTTCCTTTCCTGCCCACAACCCCACAAAATGACACTAAAGTTGTGTAATTCAGGTAATACCGTTATTCTAAACGGGCATTAGAACTTCAACTTGTGCACTGAAGAAGACCTTCGTAAGTTACACTCAAAATATCATGCATGTATAAATAAATGCAAAAGTTATCTGAAATATAAAGCCAACATTGGCATGTCTGTAGACATATTCATTTGTCTGCAGGTAATGTGCATAATGTGGTTACCACTATGTATGTACATGTATTGCCAGTTGGCCTTTTGAATGTAGGCATATAAAAGTTAGTATTTGTTTGTTATGTTTTACTTTCCTGATGTTTTACGTCTTATTTATTTATTCATTCATTTCGCTCTTTTTAACTTTCTGTTTGAGGGTCACACCCAGCCAATTAAACCTAGGTGCCTATTCCTATATTTGGGCTGGTTTAATTTGGTTTCTGTCCTAGGTAACCTTAGTCATGCCTATCACTCGTTGGAGGTCAACTATTTCAACTTGATAGGTTGGCTGTGGTTTAGTTGGGCAAATATTGACCCAAGATTTATGACAATGTAGTATTGGGTTACAGTCTGATTGAAATACTTGCACATGTGCAGAGCATGTGTGTACATGTATATATGTACATGTACAACAAGTGAGGTGTGTGCACTGTTTATGACTTCCATAAACCACAGGTCTGCTCACAGTTGAGATTTTTGTGTTATTATTAACCCTTTTTTTCCAATTGCTATACCTGTACATGTAATGTATATATAGGCCCTATATTGCAGCGTAACCCCTAACAGACAAAGCTTGGGATTGATTCTTTCTGTTGGCTTTCTGATATCATTGAGTGTTTATTTGATAAAGAAAGTCAAATTTTGTGATTCAGTGTGTGACACATGCCTCTAGATGCACTTGCAATTCCGTGAACGTAGAATTTGCTATTCTTTTGCTGAGCTGACAATTGTTAGTAATTTGCGAATGGAATCATGAAACAAAAACGAAAAAAATTGGAATAACAGGTACTGGTGCATGTCTCCTAGTTTCCCATTAATTTCAGAAGTACAGATGGTAACAAGCTTTATAATGAAATAACGTAATCCTTCTCTCTAGAAGACTGTCCTTACTCTGATTCATGTACTTCAGTTACTCTGAAAATGTGGATAGCCACCTTTTCCTCAAAGTTTTTTTGAGGGGAGGGGATTGGAGAATGTGGGAGGTGGGGTGAAGAATGACAGGAGGCTCAGTCTTTTCATCCGGGAAGTCAGTGCCAAATTCCATGTGCCTGTACATGTACATACTGGTACAGTGCATGGCCAACATTTCTAACAGCCTATTTTGTTGATGACTGGAATTTCTTTTTCATGTTATGAGCAAGCATATGCCTGCGTGATAGGTCATACCCTTGCATGCTTCATGTAAGAGCAGGTGCTTTTTCCCTCTCTGGATAGCACCCTACCAAGATGACACGTCATAAACACAAACCAAAACCGAAAGGTTAGAAGACAGAGATCACTTGTCTGTTTATTTCACATGCAAACATTCTCACATAAAAACCAATGCACAATCCCTTCCCCCGGGGATCTGGAGTTGTACTGATGCACAGAAAAATGTACTGATTGGGTAGTCTTGTTCCTGCAACCTGATCGGCCTCCCCCAGTGCCATCATGGGCCCTCTGATCTCATCGGCTGTAACGTCTGATCCCCAAAATACCAACACCGATCTTAGCTTGCAAGTGGACTTGAGGAAATCCAGCACTTGGAGGTATCCACAGTCTTTACTTTGTGTCTAGGGTGTCAGGCGCATGTTGTATGTTGTTCTTATCGCATTCTGCTCTAATGACAGAAATATATCTATGTTATGTGTAATCCATCGGCTTGGAGACTTGTGACGTTATTAGGAGGTGATGAAATCGATAATGATCACTTCCTATTTTATTTATTATCAGACTTCACGTTGTGGATTGACGTTTGAGTCACCAGTGCGGGGGAAATGTGATTTCAAGAAAACAAACCTTTGCAACCTGTAGTGTTTATGTTCGGGAATTGCAAAGCTTCCACAGAGAAAAGGGGATTTTATGTTTTGTATGGCAAGTGTTGCTGTCTGGTTTAACTTCCATTTCTTTTTGAAGAACACCTCTGCCTCTTTCTCTGTTTAATGTTGAATTTTAGATAACAAATAGATTAATATTTAGATTTAGAGTAAGGCTTGCCCCCTCCTGATCGAATGAAGTGTGTCAATGTATCTTTCATCTTTACTTTCAGGTGAACACAGATGGTTTGGTGACATTTGCCCCTGTGCCAGTGGAAGGCCAGGCCCCTTACACATTTGGCGTTTCGCTGAAGAACAGCCAGGTGGAAACAATTGCCCCATTTGGTGCTGACTACAACACCAGGTAGATCAACAGAATTGTGGTTGAGTTTGTTATTCCAGTGAGGTGCATAATTACACCCTAGGCTAATGGCAACCAAAATTGTGGACATTTTGTTGTTTTGCCATTGAATAGACGACATTGTGTAAGATGTCACACAGCCAAATATTTCGATGATAGAAGGTGGAAGGTAGATAGACATTTTTGCTGGAGTTTGACTTTCTTACGCAGTGCTAAATAGTAAATACAAGTTTTCTTGCCAGTTGTTGTGTAATCAAACATCAACATGTGATGAGCAGATGAGGTCACTTAGTTTTGATTCACTAAGTTCTAAAGGCTGGTTCATACTAAAGGCAAATGTGAATGCGAAGCAAATTTGATGCCGTGAAAGATTTGCAGCAAAATTTTGTTGAAGTTAGAATGTGTTCACTTTTCCAAATTTGCAGTGTGAATATTTGGCCTGACGTCACAGATTTGCATTTGTCTTCACTTGGGCCTGCCAAGTAAGAACTGGCACATGCATCTGATTTAGCCTCAGGGTTCAGACAGCAACAGAGGATTTTCACTGGAGCCCCCAAGGTTAATTATGCCAAAGGCCACAGTCTTTTCAACTGCTTTATGGGTGCTGTGCCCAACCCTGTATGGTACCTGTAGGTCTGATCCTAGGGCATGAACAATATACATGTACATGTACATGACACGTAAAGTGTCCATGTATGGTGCTTTTGTGGTCCAGTAATGTACAGCTGCTGCTTGTAACTGTTACATTTTGAAGGTCCCTTTAAAATAATATACATGGGTAGGCCTTGTAACAGAAACTCTCTTATTTCAGTCCAGCAAGTGGGAGGCATTGTAGTGATCTAGTTGGCATATTTCATATCTGAGGTCATGTGGAGCTGTATGGGCAGATTTCCCTCGGGGGCAAATACAACTTTTACACAAACCACAAGTCTTCTGTACAGTTTGCTGAATGTGCAGTGGTTTGGGATGTTTGGGAGTCTTTTGGGGAAACGTGAATAGGATTCTAGAAAAGAATTGTCTGTACGTTGTTTGGTCCTCTCTGTGTACTGGTACGTGGAGACATGAGCATTGTACTCGTATGTGTGGTTTTGGATATATTTCTATTTTTGAGGATTTCAGTTACAGCATGTTTTGAATTTATAATGTGGTCATACAGTAACAGGTCCTGTATTGTGTCTTCACTTCACATAGGGACAGATATACATGTACATGTACATGTGTAGCTACTGTCTCAAAGTGACAAGAAATAGCATAAGGTTTTAAATACACGTAGGCCTACCTGAAACAAAGTTGTTCACACTTTTATTCTGACTAAACCAATAGAAGCAAAACTAAAAAGAGCGAAAACCCATAAGAACCATTGTAGTTCTGCAGACTCTTTGATCTGAAGTAGTGTTTGTGTACAGTATTAATTTTCTACATGCAAATGGTCTAGCAGTGTGTACAAAGTAAAAATTGGTTGGCAACATTTAGAATTCATTAAAATTCTTTGGTGAAGATCCTAACCTTTCAAGGTATTGTAAAAAGTACACCAGAATACTCGATGTGACTTGAAAAAATCTTCTAAAAATGGAAGTCCAATCACCCTATCTTGTTCCCTTAATTAACTTTCGGATGTATCACTAAAATAGGAAACCTTGAACACTAACCTCATTAAAAAGACTTTCAGTAAGTAGGAAAACACATGTACTGTTGAGTCCCTGTAGTTCATTCAAGGAGTCAGCATAAAGCATGCAAGTCATGTGCCCTTTAACTACATGAACATCCACGAAACATATTGAACTTATTTTAAGAAGGACTTTGAGAAGCTTGGGGCTCTGAAGGATGCACATGCACTCCGTTTTGCTGGTGGGGAAGATCATTGAAGAGGTTGCTTGAATTGCTTGCAGATGTTTCCAAAAATATCAGTACATACATTATAGTACCGATCTCATTTTGACCATGAGTATAATGAGCTGGCATGTCAGTTACACGGAAATGTCATTGAGGGTGCCAGTACTCACTTTGGCTTTTCTCTCAAGAAAAGGTTATGACCTCATCAGATATGTACTAGTTCCATGTACAACCTACCAGTATTACCGATTCATGCACATTCGTGTTTGTGTACCTTTTACACATTATGACATGCGCACTCTGTTCCAAAATTCATGCCATTTTGTCTTTATGCTGGGCTGTCTTATAGTGAAGGAGGCACTGTGTTCTATCGAGAAGCCTTTAGGACCGAGGTCCTCAACAGAGCGTCTCGGGATGTCAGCCAGTTCTTTGGGAGGACGGGCTTCCAGGCGAGGTCTCTGACGTTAGCCACCTGGGACAGTTTGCGGTTCAAAGACGAGGGCAAGGTTGGCAGTTCCTTGCTTCAGAGAGATTTCATGAATTTGTCATGCTAAGAAACCTGAATGTTACTGAGAAGTGATCAGATGTTACCATTCCAAGAATTACAAGCTATCTTTGCACGAATAATAGGAATTCAACAGCTTTCACTCTCTGAAACTGCAAAACGTTCTGCAAAGGAAAACAATTTCTTACTTTGGATCACTCTGAAGTATGAAAATTGACCCTGAGAGAGGAGAATTGTCAAAGAGAAAAAATTGCCCATGGAAGCCTGGTTTTGGAATGGTTGGTTACAAATTACCTTAGGCACAAAAATAGGGTTCGGTGATTTGTTTGATTTGCATTGAGTCAGAATATTATGTGATATCAAATATGTCAAAGCAGACACACGCATACACTGGCATAGGAAGAAAGTGATACAGTTTAGAGGCAATTTAAGTCTGTATGTGATTGTGAAAAGCAAAGCAAAAATCCCCATTTTTATAAGAACATACCAAATGTATTTTGCGTACATGTACTTGTTAAGGCAGCTTTGACCGTTGAGAGGAATTTGTTGTTTTAAATATATTGTGTCTTTATATCTCCCTAGACTGTCACCTTCCAACTCGTTATTCCATCAGATGGCGACCAAACCTTTGTCTTCTTCATCTATGATGATACAAACCGAGCTGCTACCAACGACTACCGCGTCGTTGGTTTCAGTAACGGGGAAGGATCACATTTGACCATCGGGGGTCATGTCTCAAGGTACGGTACATAAACCAATGTTATACTTTCTCAACCCTATTCCTCCACCCTCCCTCTCGTCAAGGTTTTTTTTCCCATCAAATAGAAATATAAGGAAATTCAGGCTTGGCAATGTATAGACTAATCCACCATACATAGAGTTGCAGTGGCACCGCATTCACAGGTGCATTGTTTAGCTTCATGTTCGAATGCATTTAGCAAATCACAGTACCTATTGGTCGAAGAGCTGTGTAATGTCTGTGTTCCACCTGCTTATGAGCATTGTACCCCTGGGCTTTTAACTCACTGAATTACACCGTAGCCCAACCCACTTTTCTGTTAACAATCTTTGTTGAGTAGAAATAAAAGGAGACCATCACAATTCATTGCTGACATTAATGATGACACAAATGAGGTTGTAAGTTGTTGGGAAAGGGCTGTTCTTGTTAAAATGTTGGGCTTTAAACTTGTGAGATTTCCTGTAAGAATCCTGTAATTCAATCCAGTGGGAGCAGTAACATTTTTGCTTCTTTAAACTGTGACCTTGGTGTAAAACCAGCAAGGCAGACAAGTTTCTAACATCGTGTGAGCAAGGGCCATGATAGTCCAATGGGAACAGGTCCTTGTTGATGTTGTTTAGGTTTGGAAAAGAAACAGCCATTGCAGCATGTAGTCATTAAGTTCATCTCCCAGAACAGCTCCAGTGGGAGTATGGTTTGCATGGTAGCAACTGGTATTTGCCGAGTTCTCTGAAACCAAAGCTCTGGTACTGCTAAGCCAAAGGGTAAAAAGATCTGTTTCTGATGTGTTGGCACTCAGTGGTGGTCATAGAGCCATTGTATAGATGTAATTGAGGGCAAGCGGTGAGTGAGTGATTCATGTCACAATTTCAGGGAATAGTTATCTGTTATGTGAATTAGGAGAGCTCAGAATAGTTGGACCAGTATTTTGAAATACATGTAGCAGTGAGATGGCAGTGTGTGCTTAGGGACTGTCCCGTTCAATCCCTAACTAGGATAACAGGTACAGTGTATGTGAAGTTAACACCACGAGATCTTGTTCTCAGAAGTGCAGCTGCACATGTCCTTTGTAAAATTTCATGTTACAGTTTCCAAACCAAACTTTGTTGGAATTCAGCTTGTAAAAAATCACTTTCCGACTAGTTTTGTCTAAACAACACAGCCCAAATGATTTTCTTACGTTCCTTAATATCCGAAAGTAATCCTCCTTTTTTTTCCGACACATTTTCTGGACAGCGAAACAAGAAAGTACTCCTTAGAGAACCTTTGTGGAAATTGGTTGTTATGACACATTTTGTAAAGGGTTCCTTTTTGTGCATCACATGTTTCAATTTCTGACATAAAAAGTCTGTGGTGGAGTCTCGTTTCAAGCCTTGTGAAAGTTTGAAGAGTTATTATTCCATTAAAAACAGTTGTGTACATGTTTCCTTCTGCATTTCCAGCTTCACCAATGTGGGCAAGAGCGGAATGTGGGCCTGGCAGGTTGGCGGGGCCAACTTGGGCACCAGAGGCTTTGCCAAGCCCATCATCGACAGCCAGGGCTCTGTAATCAACACAGGTGCCAGTGGATCAGCAAGCGGTGGGGTGGTCAGTGGTGGAGCAACTGGCGGTGGTGGTTCATCCACATTCACTTTACAAGGCGGAGGATCAACAGGTACTTGATTGGTTTTCCTGTCTGGTTTGATTCACCCCTGCGTTCATCGATTCATTCTTGCATCTATTGCTCATTAACATGAAGCAAGTAATCATAGAAGGAACTTGAATTGATTTAATTAAGAGTTTGAAGGAAGGAAACTGAAAATGAAAGTACATAATGAGTCGGTAATGAAAATAAATCTAAAGGATCTGAGTCAGACTCAGAACTGGCAATAATATCATGGTTTCATTGCAGAAACAAGGAATGAGTTTTGGATTGATCTTTTTTTTTTTTTGAAGGGAGGTCTGTGCGACATTCATGATGTAATGGTTATTGCTGCTGCCCAGATGTTTGCCTTTGCATTTGTGGCAGGCATATTTAAGGTGTGTTCATTTGGACACCCAGCAAGTTGCACACAATGTTTGGCCACGAGATACTGTGCGAAGTGCCCATAAGCAAGTTTGGAAACCAGGCAGCCATTTACATGTACTTGCAGAAATAAATTATCCTTTTTGCTTAGGGCCAAATAGTAGTGTCACATTTATCTGGCCTTCAAGTGCTTGTAACCTGTCTTCATAGGGTCATCAAAACCTAGAGTAATATTGAAAATAAATGCCTGGGTCATTTCAAGCATATCCTTACCCCACTGCTGGACATCATCATGTGATTGCTTGTGTCAGGTTGGCAAGAAGAAGCTTTAGGGTCCTGTTGGAATTACTTGGCTGTGGCTTGACATTTACACACAAGTCTACCTCAATGGCAGTAGCCACTTCCCATACAGTTGTGTGCATTTTCAAGCCGCAGCCAAGTAATTCGGACACAGCCTAATTTTCAGTCCGATTGCTGGCCTTTTAAAGTCAGTGACCCTTTGACCTCAGGAAGTACGCTTGGATTGGCGTACATGTATTTCTGTGTGATACGAGAGGAAAATTACAAGAATTCTGAATACCTTTTTGCGCTGTAATTGGCCTCTTCATCGTGAATCAAAATTGTCAATGTTGTGATATATAAACTATAAGTTGTATGCGATCATGGATGCTGTGGCTCGTGCTGGTTGTTATTACTTGGGTGGATTGCTGTGTCCTTCTTACGTACAGTTTCACTGATAATAACCAAAGATGGCTTATTGCTTTAAGGAGAAGGGAAGGGATTTTCTGGTTTGGAGATAAAGGGGAATTCAGCCATCAAGGGTCCAGCTTGTAAATTTTAAATGTTAGTAACAGTTTGAGCTGAAACAATCTTTGCAGCTGCTAATTTCTTTATTCACGGCTTAATGCAACTTTTTTCTTAATGGTTGCTCAGGATACCAACCAAGGCTTGTAAATATTCCCAGTTTTCCCATCGAGGGGAACAGTTTGAAAGCAAGACATCAAGATGAGTGGTGAATGAGTGTTTTAAAATTTACCTGCTCCATATGTTTGCCTTAGGAGGATCAGCCGGTGGCTCTGACGGACAGGGAGCGGGAGGATCCACTGACGGGGGAGGTGGTTCGTCCTTTACCATTGTCGTCGGTGACGGGACTGGGAAGGCGACTAGTGTCACCAGGGGGTCATCATCCTCTTCGTCTGCCACCGTAGTAACGGTGGGAGGGGGGTCCGTTGACGTCGGGGCAGGGGGGGAAGCCACAGGTGGACAGGTGGGCGGGGGAGGGGCAGATGGATCTCAGCCGTCCACTGGAGGTGGTGCTGGAGGTAATTTTTTTCCCAGGGCCATACCAGTTTGTCCATTGAGTAAAATGGACATATCCGATGTAAACAAAATATTTTAAGATATTACGTATATCTATGCATTAAAAAACTTGGTTTGTTTTTATTGGTAGTACATTGTTTGGTATACAGCTTGAACATTTGCATGGTAAGATTGGCATTTAGAGAGATTAGAGAGAATTAACCCTAACCCTCCTCAATCCTTCACCTGTTGGAGGACTGAGGAGTGTTAAGGTTAATAGCAGGTGGCAGTTTACGGTGACAGTCTGTGTGATAATAAGTCCTTCTTTTCCTACCCAAAACGGTTCCATGTATTTATTTGCCTTGTTTTCTCATGTGTAAATCTGAATAAGCAATCCATCCTTCCTCAAAAAATAAAAATTAAAAAACAAGGAAGGGAAGCGGGAATGATTGGACAACTGGAGTTGGAGGATGAAGTTTACTGATGACTCATTTTCATGAAATCCGTCAACTTTTGTCTCTCTTTCCTAGCCGGTAGATTCGACGTCGACTTCAATGTTGGCGAAGGCCTCAGTCCAGACTCTGGGGCCGTCTGTGACACCTGTCACCCACAGGCCACCTGCCAGAAGTTCTCTGATGGCTACTGCTGTGTCTGCCCGCCCACACTCTTTGGCAACGGACAGGCGTGCCTTGACCCGCGTAAGTAGGGGCAGGACTATATTTGGAGCACAGATGCTCCTTTGTATCTGTTCATATCTTTCACACTTAATACCACTTCCTTTACTGTCTCCTTGGGCATTTGTTTTAGGGACCTTTCTGAAACCACCAAAATTGACTGCACTGCAGGAACCCAACGACATACACTTTGTATTTCAACTCATACTAAGCATATAAAGTTCCATGCAAAGCGATAGAGGCTGGACTCTGTCTTCTTAAATGTTGCAGATATCTGCTGAACCTCCTGATTAAATTTGAAGGATCTGGGATGATTGGGGTTAAAATTGGTTTCCTGTACAATCTATTGTACTTGTTCAAATCAGTCCTCGCATGTAAAGTCCATTTGACAGATTTGGCTTCAGTTCAACTTCAACCCAAAATCTCTTCCCATTCTGGTCCTCTTTAAGAGGGTAGACAACGCTTGAACGGTCTGGTGTCCGGTACGGTGAATGGTCAGTCCTTCAGCAACGCCAATCTTCATTCCTTCATCATCCTGAGCGAAGCCCGGACCTACACTGCCGTCAGTCCCCTGCCACCTGAGATCAGCTACTCCCTGCAGACCATCACCCCTATGGCCGAGATCATGGGCTGGCTCTTTGCCTTGCCCAGTGGCAAAGGACTCAACGGGTTCATGCTGACAGGTAGGTGCTGGTAACGAATATTACTTAAAAAACAAACAAACACCCCAACACCCCAACAAACAAACAAACACCCCAACAAACAAACACCCCAACACCCCAACAAACAAACAAACAAACAAACAACCCAACAAACAAACAAACAACCCAACACCCCAACAAACAAACAAACAAGCAAGCAAGCAAAACAAAAACACTAACCAAGGATCTTTGAAGGGTAGGGTCACAGGGAACCAAAACAGTAGCGACTGCAGAGCCTGCTTTTCTACGTTTTAAAACAAAAAAGGCAAAGAGAATTTACTTACAAAAACAACCAGATGAAAATCAACCACCGTAAATCCCCAATGAAAACCAATAAAATTGACTACAATCAGAATCTTAGAAAGGGAGAACCTAAAAACTTAACGCCCAAAAGTAAAACTAACACAGTATGTAAAAATGGCCTTTCAAGTACACACTGACAAGAAATCAATGACCCCAGAAGACAAAACACAAGCAGGGCACTCCACTCAAGAGGGTGAAAGATGAACATATGGAACATGTCCAGACTTCACTGCTGATTTGCAGTGTGGCTTGACCATGAGACAACTATCAGTGGGGAACTTGGGGGCCAAGGAAAACGGGGGATCACGCTACCAGGAAAGGAGAGGGGTTAACCCTAACCCTCCTCAATCCTTCACCTGTTGGAGGACTGAGGAGTGTTGGGGTTAAACTATTAAATACCAACCTGATTGTCTTGTTACTGAGAAACTCTCATACTTTAAACACTAAAGAGTACATGAGAATCACAAGTGAGACTTGGCCCTGCCACACTGGCAAATCCTGAGGGGTTTACAGTAGGGGAGCTGTGGTGTGTGTCCTGTTTGTCATTCTGTCGTCAACCTTGTACAAGGTGTTTTTCTCTTGTGTGGAATGAAGTGCTTGCCTTTGTGAAAATAGTGCTATGGATTGGTTACATTTTCTGTAAACCGGTTGGCTTCACTGTTCCAGGAAATCACAGTAAACCACTCCGCCAAGTATTGTTGGAGCACCTCTTTAACTTGCTGTGCCTCTTACTCATGTCGGCCCAGACCTGTTGTAAGCTGTGTGGGTTTTAGGGGCAGAGGGCGTGTTTTAAAGTGTGCCACACCTTACGCGTGGACCCACCTGTTTCCCAAGAAATCACCTCTGTTCAAAAAGTTGACAACAGTGAAAAATAAGTTGAGAGGGATGTTATTTATTTCCATTTATCAACCACAGTAGCATTGTTGTCTTTAAGCGCTGGTGAAAATGATCATTAAAACTAGTGTACCCCATATGAAAACACCAGTCTTTCTACTCGTCAATAATTGCCAATGTGTCATACCACAGTCCATAAAGTTTGTATGATGAATAAATCTTGCTGTGATGTATGTACATGATTCCTGTCTTCCAGGTGGCAAGTTCAGGCAGACGTTGAACATCACCTTCAGCACTGGAGAGCAGATGCTGATCACGCAGGAGTTCCAAGGTGTGCTACTGGTTCACTGATTCACACTCCTTAGAAAATATCAGAACAGAAATCAGGGTCCAGCAGATTTGTGTGCCAAGCAAGCACTAGCGGAGAACCAGTCGTGAGCAAATTGCAACAAGTCATATTGGCTGGTAACCCATTTTTGCTGAGCAAATATTTTCCATGCTGATCTGAACTCTTGACATTAACGGGTATGTGGCATTTGTACCAGCTAAAAAGCCTGTGTGGCTATTAAAATCTGTATTATGTAGAGTTCATGTAATGCGCGTTGATTTCTGTTAAAATCTTTATGGATTTCTGATAATGATTTTGTATGATTCAGGTGTGGATGAGGATGGTTATATCCGAGTCATTGCCAATTGGAACGGCAATGTGCCTGAGATCCTGCCATCTGACTACATCTTTGTAGATGATCACAAAGAGGAATACAGCCGGCATCGAATCGGTAAGTCTGAGGCTGCGTCCAGAATAATGGCTATGGCTTGGATTGATACACACCTCCATGGAAGTCACTAGCTTGGAACTGCAGTCACTCCCTATAGATTTACATGTTACTGTTAGCACCTAAGGCCAGTTAATAGTTGGCACGGAAGGCAACATGGAATGTGAATTTTTGGCATCAGATAAAATATTCGTGCTGCACATTTGCAGAAATCAAACATGTTTAAGCTCAAGGAAATTTTGCTGCAAATTTTTGTCACCTCAAAGTGATTTTGCTTTTGTATTTTGCCTGAAGTACAGGTACCGAGGTGCATGTAATAATAATGCACATCAGTTCTTGAAGTCAAATACGAAGTGAGAGCAAAACAACATGTTGAGTTCCGAGATTTGAATGTCATTGGATAGAGCAGAAAGCTGGCAATACATAGCACTACTGGTAAAACTCCAAAAGTCTCAGAGAAATGTTATTATCTGATAAATTTTTGTGTACATCTAAGAATCAATGATCTCCGTCTTATTGCTAATTTTGGTTATTTGATTTTTATGACAATACTGAAGTAACTTTGTGATGGAAATGTTTGCGCAGCCATATGAGTTGACATCTACCGTATGGCATACATGACAAACCACAAATCAGATTTTTTTTTGGTACCGTTTCATGGTTAGTACAGAAGTCAGGATTACCTTGAATGGAAAATAGACGTTCTTGTAATTGAACATTTACTATAAAGGTACCTTTCTGTAAGTGGGCCTTGTCTGTACCTTTCAACTGCAGTGAGTGTTCAATGAACGAAACATGGCAAACAGATGCAGATACGGAATGGACCCAAAGACCCTATTCATGGGTTAACCATATTGAATTTGAATATGAAGGTTAATTCTTCAATTTTTAAAACTGCGAGTAAGAACGAAAGAAATAACATGAAATTCTTAGCAAATCAGTATGTGTCTACTCCGATAAAGAATGACATATGTGTGATTAACCATACCTTAGTGTTTTAATAAGCCAGATGTATATAAATAGTGAAAGAAAGGCTTGGAATACACACCAGTCATAGAATAGTCTGGTGCCATTGTAATCAACAGTTCACAATTTATCAAACCGATTCAGGGCATGAGAGTGAAAATGGCTCCCACAGGAATAACGTCTATTGCAAAAACTTTGTACGTTACTGTACCACACAATCTCTGCTCGCAGGCTTGATCCACACATTTGCCAAGCGAACCATGCAGGTCAATGATGATACAATCTCCTTCACCATGGACCAGACCATTGAGTATGACGAGTGCGTAGCTGACGAGGAGGACACAGAATACATCCTCAACTTTATGAGGGTCAGCCTGACGGAGACTTATCTGACCTACGAGGATGGCGAGAAGATCCTACGCTTCTCCATGATCGGGAAGGTCACGCCCGCTTCAGGTCAGGGGTCGTTCCATTTTTAAATGCTGGTACTTAATCAGTGCATTTGTTACTGCCTGTGTGCTTACTCGTGTACTTGTGACTGTGTTTTGATGCTTATATGACATCTAACAATTATCTACATGGCCTGGCCCATGTAAGCCATCTGCCAAGCTGGTTACTTATGAATGCATCCCACAGTGCAATGCGAAAACATGGCAGGTTTAATAGTCAAATGATTTGAAGGAAAGCATAGGCCGTGTCCGAAACGGGCTTCCAGAGCTACAGCTGGGTCTATTGTCTACGCGTCTTCATGCATTTCTAATGGAGTGAAGACCTAGACCTAGCGCTAGACAAGAGATTCGGATGCAGCCTTATGCAATCATAAACACCTCAGACAAATCATTCCACGTACTGGCAAAGTGGCTCAAGTCAAGTATATTTTGTGTAAGCAAGGCCAAAAAATGTGTTTTAGGATGTCCATTGTTTGATTTCATTTTGCAAATCCAGTCCGTGCATGACCTTTTGACCCCATCCGGTTGCTGTAACTGGACTTTGATATCACTGATTGCTCATGTCCAACTACACCTGCTGCCGACCTTCCTCCGTGGAAACATTAAAGGACCTCTTTCTAACTTCAAAAAGCTTTGGACTTTTGTTAAAAGGTCCCACGTAAGCACTAGATTACTACTTCTAATTTTCTGGATGTTTATAGAGCAAATTGATGACCGTTGCCTGAACAACAACTGTGACCGTAACGCCCAGTGCCTTCCTGTCGGAGAGTCAGGCTACCGATGTAAATGCAACCCAGGCTATGAGGGCGATGGCCAGAGGTGCACATGTAAGGATTCAGTCCTGTCCAGATAAATGACAGTGGTGCCTTTTGATGTTGGGTGTTAAAGCAGGGTTATAGAGTAGAGACTACCCCAGATCAAAATTTCTTACAGAAATCCACCCCATCTTTAAACATTACCCAACCTGGCAAAGTGAGTCACAAGTCTCCCCAAAAAAATCTAGCACTATGTATACAACACAGGAACCCTCATTTTTCACCCATGTAAAGCCCATTTTCATCACGATAACAAACTTGACAATTCATCAAGACGGTGAGTCGTGTTTACTCATTCTAAGGGAGACTATTCGAACCAAAAACAAAACCATTGACTCAATTTATTGAGCCCAGTCAAATATCCACACTAGTCTAGGAAGGCTGTATTTCTGCCATCTTGGTTACACATTGTTTGCATTGTTAATCATTTCCAGTAAGTGATCCTTGTGCACAGAACACCTGTGATATCAATGGTTACTGCATACCCCAGTTGGACCGCTACACGTGTGCCTGTAATGCAGGGTACCAGGGAGATGGTTTCACATGTAGAGGTGGGTGAACAATGTCTTTATCATCGATTGCTGTTTTCTATTATGAAAAGTTTTCATGTTTAGGTCTTCAAGATGTTTGTCCCCGAATGTCATAAATGCCCCAAACTCCTGTTCAACAATGTTGACCGTCGAGGTTAGATCCTTCCTTGAAGTATAAAGTCATTCTCAGAATTCAGTCAGTGTTTAAGTTGACAGTTTGATACTGCAAATTGACAACTTCATTGTTGCGTTGGTTTTTGCCTCCTTCCCATAGTCGATCGTTGTGCCAGCAATCGGTGCGATCCCAATGCGAGGTGTGTGGAAACCACCACGGGCTACGAATGCTACTGCAACAGCGGATTCACTGGGGACGGATTCAGATGTCAAGGTCAGATTGGTAGCGATGAATCACTGCCTAGATGCATTCTGTCATCAGTTCACCTACTAACTGCTCACTCTACGATGCATTTCCCGTGAAAGTTTCAAGTGTGACCCCGCTTTCCTTCCTTCCCTTTTACACCCCTCATCCAAACCCCCCTCGGCAATCATCCTTAGCCACGTCATCCGATACGGCTTCTGTAATCCTAACAGATAACGTGACTACATTTTATCTGCGTTACATGTAGTGCCCCCCCCCCTTTTTATTTATTCAATTTGGCAAGAGCATTTTATGAGTTATTAGTGAGTCAACAACTGTTCAAGCCTTAAATGGAGGAGAGACCTGGTAGGAAATTCAATTAGTCCCCAATATAGTTGCAGGTGTCTTCAGGGTCGGAGAGCTTGCTCTCGTCATTTGAGTGCTTTTCCGTCAATGGAGTTGTTTGCTTGACTAATGTTTGCTTAAAACGGTGTGGTCTGAGAGGGTCACTTACATTCACAATTTTAGAAATACAATGTAGTGAATAACCCATCCCTCTAGGACTTGGCACTCTTTGATACCTTCTAGACACTGCATAGAATTATCATTGACTAATTGTGATACCAGCCGCTGTATTGGACTTGAGCCAGCGACCCACTCTGGGCAAACTCAGAGGACGATTGGTTAAAAGACATCTCCACTAGCAAGCAGGAAGTCTTGGGTTTGAGTTCCACCCAAGCTTGCCTGCAATTTTTGTAATTCTGGGACCACACTGAGATTACAGTGTGAATGCATTGATGTAAGAGCACAAGCCTCGTATAAAAACTGCTGAGTTAACAGCATGGGATCTCATCACGTCTTGCATTCAAACTTTAAAGTAAAATTTGTTAGAGTTGACCCCAAAAAAGGGTTGTTAATTGAAAGGTGCCTCTCAGAAACATCTAGGTTGTTGCGCATGCCTGAGTATTTCTACAACTCAGATGGCCTGAACCTAAATATTCATTATATATATCTTTACAATGTTGACTCAAGTGATCCAGTTTTTTCCCCTGCAGTGAGAAGTCCATGCGATAACAACGCATGCGATGTGAACGCATACTGCGTACCGGCTCAGACAGGCTACCAGTGCTATTGTAACGAGGGCTACACAGGCAATGGTTTCAATTGCGAGGCTGAGGGTAGGGCTGATTGATATTCCCAAATGACTAAATCTAGAGTCAGGGGCTAGGATTAAATAATTCAAAAAATTCAAGAATGCTGTAAAAGAAGCTCCTTGTATGTCAAGTTGAATTGCTGAAGAAGTTTCAGCCCGGAACATGCCAGATTTGGCTCCGTCGAGGCTCATTTTTAAACTATTCTTGCAAAAAATGTAAGAATTTCCTAAACTTGGTTCTGTTACAGATCTTTACAGATCTGCTTAAAAAACCCAAATCGCATTCAGTCTAACACAGTGTTTATAAAATAATCGCTACGTTGTTTGACATAGCCAAAGAAAAGAGCATGATGTTTCAAAAGCTGTCAAAGACCAAGAAATCAGAACATTTGTGGACCTAATGTTTCGACCTTAGCAGAGTCTGTCTCAAAGGCTAAATAACCAGCTTCCCGCTTATCTAATCTTAAATCTTCAATAAAGTGACTTCTCAATTGTTTCTTTCCAACAGTGAGAAATCCATGTGATAACAATGCATGCGATGTTAATGCGTATTGCGTACCAACCCAGACAGGCTACCAGTGCTATTGCAATGAGGGCTACACAGGCGACGGTTACAATTGCCAGGGTAGGGGTGCTTAATATTCCTTGGCTAGAAGAAAAAAGTCAGAGGAAGAGATCTTAAGCATAGGAATAGTTCATTAAACCAGACATTTAATTGAGCTGCAGTGTACCAAAACACTGTCAATAAACTCAGTAGTTTTTCAGGTCATGTTTTAAAAGTCCCACGTCCTTACTGAATAACCAGTCAGTGGCAAACTCCCATTCAAAATACATAAAAGAAACAATACAAAATTGTTTTCCTGCCTGCCCATAATGTGTAACCATGAAGAATTTGTAATAATATCTTAAACTAGATCTGTGGAATCTGACAACTTTCTGTAACTTTCTGATGGAAAAAAAAATTTTTATAGCAAGTATTACTATAAAACCATTACACCTCACTTGTGCAGTATTTGGACTATTTATTGTCAAATCCATTCTTATTTTTGTCTACATTTAGAAGAAAAAACATTTCACTTTAAGATCATCCTAGTAACTGATGTGTGTAGCTATTACAAATGCACATGCTTTGTGACAATTGTTTTCATTAGTCAATTAGTCATTAGTTATTGCATGATTTCTATAGCTGAATACACAGTAGATGTGTTCCATTGCTTTTGTTGCGTGTGTCTGTTCACAGAGAGAATTGTTAACCCGTGTGATAACAATGCATGCGATGTGAACGCTCGCTGTTTGCCGTCCCAATCAGGCACATACCAGTGCCTCTGTAACCAGGGCTTTGTTGGCAATGGCTTTAGTTGTCAAGGTGAGTACATGGACTTGACGTAAGAAAGCGTAGTTCTTCCTCAGTTCCTGCATCAACTGCACTGCACATTCTATTTTTTGTTGCATTCTGCTCGTGTAGGTCATGTTTCATCTGCTTCTGCTTCGTCACTTTTAAAGGAGGGGGGGTGTCTGGGGCACAGTACTGATGCAAATGGAGAGACCTGTATACAGTGTCTAAAGAGGAGTTTTTGAAAACGAAACTACTTGACATGTGGAAGGAAGCTGCATCGAATATTGAGAGAAATGTGACCCACCGTTCCGATACCCTGGTGAAGAATTACAAGCTGTATTCTGGAAAATGATTCCAGTGCATACATGAAAACTTCAAATTCCATAACTGTCATCGCCTGATGCTTAGCAAATCTCTCTAAAGACAAAATGTACTTTGGATGCTTGAAGTATGAAAACCAAGAGGTGGGGAAAGTATATTACCAATCATGAAAACCGCTTACTTCAGCTTGGTTTGGGGGTAATCAGCAAGTGTAGGGGCATATGTGACAATGACTCATGCGGACCTGATACCAGGCAGTAGCGATTAGAGGAGATAGAAACAAACCAACCCAGTGCACTAACCTGATGTCTTGTGTTTTTTATGCAGAGGACCAAATAGACCATNAATAACGAATGCGACGCCAATGCCCGGTGTGTGACTGCCGCATTCGGTTACCAGTGTTTCTGCAATCCCGGCTTCAGAGGGGATGGTTACAGATGCCAAGGTACTGTTTATATACTATGGGAGGCAAAGTTGAACCCCCACCCCTATCCCTCAAACCCCACCCACTGCTTCCTCAGTCTATCAGTTTCTCTTCAAATTCACATTTACGCTTACAAACTTTGGCAGGTAAGTATCCATGCTTCTTGTTGATAAGCTTGGCTTTTTGCATAATTTCTATGTATTGTTGCATTGCATTGGTTGATTATTTGCAAGCTTTCTCATTTCTGATTTATACGTTCATTTAGCATGGCATTTGGTGACAAAATGGACGTTAAGTCCATAAAACTGATTTTCCAATAAGCATTTCTGCAAAGCAAATATTATTTTGCGAAAAGATGCATTTGTAATCCCATGCTTGCTGTTTAAATAAATTGCCCATATCTGCCCCACAGCTATCCATGCTACATGCACCTATTACAGTTTGTTTAAAAAAATGCAAATAAGATGGTTCAATAACCAATCAGCAAGGCTCAACCTTGTGCGTCACTTTTCTACTTCCATTTATGGTGGCAGGTCACAGCTTGAAGTTTATATGCAGGCTTCAGGCAAATTCGCATGAAAGCGAAAGCAATGCATTTCTTTTCCTGCTGGCATATTGAAAAAGATGAAAAAAAAAGAACTTGCTCTTTAAAAAAAAAGCTTAACATGCCAATGCAGGTGGACTGGCTTGTCTTCCTCTGTTGAATGCCTCATTGCATTGTTTCCTTGCAGCTAACGTCACTGACCCTTGTGCTAACCATACATGCCATAAAAATGCCCGTTGTGGACCCTCCTCCGAAGAAGGCACTTATGAATGCTTCTGCATTGAAGGCTACACTGGTGACGGCTTTACTTGCGAGGGTAGATAGTTGCTGGTTTATCTCTTGTGGCAGAATTTAAGGCCTAAGACAAAAATTTCCCACTTGTCTTTATACTCCGGTTTTGTCTTTTTCACACAAACTCACTTGAACAATTTGCTTCTTTATAATTTGCCTATGGGATTCTATCCCGTCCAGGCCTTCTGTGTTCCAATATGCTCAGAGTTTATGTAAGTAAAGAGACACCGCTTCTCCATTTCTGTCACGTGCCCACTATTGCAGAAATGCTGTGGAGTTTGTACGCATTCCGTCGAAAAGTACCCGCGTAAGATGAAAATGGTCCAACTCTGTTAGCTTGGCCACAGCTACTAGTAATCTGAACACATCGCCAACAATGGCAGCAAGAGGCTTTCGTGTATGTTGAGAAGCAGCTTAAAGCCATTCACAGATTCTGGCATCTGATACATGTAAACGCACCTGGAATAAGCCCCTTCTGAGCTCTCAAGATTTTCTCCTCAACAGTGTATATCAAAGTTTGAGTTCTTTGTCCTCTTAGTTATTTGGATGTTTGGAAGGCCAAATTATTCCTGTAATAGGGACCAGGACATAGTAGAGACGTTGTGTGGACTTTCCCGTGTCCACACGAGGTTTCTTCCCTTTTAAAAACTATATTTGGGGTATGGTCATCAGTTGCAAAATGAAGAGGAACACTCAGGGAAGTCATTAATAAAAAAAACTTGGGTTGAAAGAGTGTTCATCTCCACTTTTTCTTGACTGAAAAAAAAAATCAAAATAATGTCTGCTTCCATGGTGGTGATGCCTCCTTATTTGGCAGTGTTTGACCCTAAAATAGCTGAGGCCCTCTAAATTTTTTGTGTTACTTATTCAGTGCATTTACTTCATGCACCGAACCCCCAGGAGTTTTGTGAGTAATATCTTTTGGTCAGTTGAATACAAAGATGTGAAAATTGCATAAATTGTTTTTGTGCTGTGCTCATGTTTCCGATAAGGTCAACCCAAAAAGTGTGTATTTGTAATGATGTACATGTGTGTGGGCTGGCACACGTGCCCTGGGTCCTCAAATGACCATAGCAAAAACCATAAATGGGATTGAGTTGAAACTTCACATTTGTATTAATAATGAGATTCTTTTCATACACGCTAAGGTTAGAGAAGATTGAGCACGGGGCAGCTGAGTTGATGGGGGCAAATGGCTTTGAGGTGGTCCAGAAAAGAAAAAAAAACGGCTCTTTTTAGGGTTAAACATCTAATCTAATTCACTGCAAATTTATATTCATTGATTTGGCTTGGCTCTGCCTTTTATTCCCTGCAACCATGCACTTTTTTCCACGCAGTTGATCCCACGAACCCCTGTGCTAACAATACCTGTGATAGTAATGCCCGGTGTGTAGCTTCCTCTCCAGATGCTTACGAATGTCTCTGCAATGAAGGCTACACTGGTGATGGCTTCACATGCGAGGGTAGATGTGGTTTTGTTTTGTTTTTATTTTTGTGGGATTCTGTTTTGTTGTCAAGCTGGTTTCACTCAGTAAAACGAAAATATTTGAGCAGCTAAACTGTAATTTTTACAAATGTTTTGTTTTGCTTGAGAAAGACAAAAATTCAAACTATCACAGATGATTTTGATATTAAAGGTCCAATTTCGTGCTCTTTTGCCACTAAATTCATAGTGGAAGAGTGTTACAAAGTTTTGCAGAAAAATTACACTGAGTGTACTCATATTTATCACCACATAAGGTGCATTTCCTTTGGTGCAAGAAAGCTTCCATCATCAAAAAATAAGATTGATGCAAATTGTTCTCACAAGTTTTAACCCTTTGAAGGGATGGCAGGTTGACAATTAATTTTTCAGCTAATCTTTGCAGCTGTCAATTTAGCCGTCCCTAAGGGCAAACATCCATACTCGCTGCCGAGAAACTCCTTGCCATGCTTGCATGAGTTTTCTTGAATGAATGCATTTCATCAGCATCGGTTTGCTTGCCCATCACATTTTCTTTGCAGCTGATCGTACCGACCCTTGTGCTGACAATACTTGTGATAGAAATGCCCAGTGTGTAGCCTCTTCTCAAGACACTTATGAATGTTCCTGCAATGAAGGCTACACTGGTGATGGCTTTACATGCGAGGGTAGATAAATGGCAATTCCATTATTACAGAAATGACAGAAAAGAAATAACAGCTATGAATTTCGTTTTTGCAAAAACACAGTAATCTTGGCATCTTTTTCTTGTTCTGTTTTGAATTGGCTTGCATTGCTCGTGCAGATGTGCTACTGCTAAGCTTAGAAAGTGAATGAGGCTGGCAATAAATGCACTGAGCAAAACCACACTACCATCCTGTTCTCTGCTTTTTATTTTTGGCTTAATGCATAATTTTGCAAAGCAATATTTTTATCTCAAAAGTTCTGTTAAACTTGGCCCTTCGTATGAAACACTTAGCCTGCCAGCAATTTGGCTACATTGCTCCATTGTTTCCCCTTACATGGAGTAATGCTTTGTTGAATTCTTCATATTGAAGACATAATAGGTGGTATTTATCAAACTATTCTAGGACTAGGCACAAGACCAGTCATAAGCCAAGTTACAAGAGTTTAGTCACTTCACCAGACACAAGAAACAGGATGAACAGTTACCGAAAAATCCCTTTGTTGGAGATTGTTTGCAAAGGTTGTGATCAGATTTCAAAATTCATGACTTTCATTTGTTTATGATGGTCTTGTTGGTCCCAAGGGGGCTGACATCAGACCACACCCTGGCAGTAGAAACCCATGCAGTCTCTTTATTCAGTGTCGACCATTTTTGTTGTATTTGCAGCCATCCAAGTTGACAGATGTTCCAACAATGCCTGTGATGCTAATGCTCAGTGCTTCCCATCAGAGACGGGTTACAGTTGCTACTGTAATGAAGGTTTCAGCGGTGACGGTTTTGTCTGTCAAGGTATGGCAGGCACTCCAAACCCCAACAGAACGTCACATCAGTGCTTTAAGGTCTTTACAGAAAAATTGTGGTATAAGGTCCCTGTTGGAAAATATTGCTTAAACAAGAAATTGGTTGAGGAGATTGGATGAAATTTAAATGTAGGTATTCTGGAAAAAAAAGTTTTGGAAATAAATCTGTTTGGAATGCGGTCTGTTTCACCAAAAATGTCTTTTATTTTCAGAGGAAGGTCTGTTTTGAAAAATGTCATGGCTGTAGTAAGGACCTTATTGCACTGAGCTTATGACTGAAGCCCTTTGTAAATAGACACAGTTCTCCGCAGCCTTTAGGAAAATGGTACAATTCATAATTTTTGTAGAATTACACATCAAGTCATGGAAATGTGTGCAAATTTCAAAGACCATAGAATTCGTTAAGAACCAAATTGTTTTAAATTTTAAACTTTTGTCATAGTTTTATCTGAAAAAGTCGGTTTAAAGACCTACTCCAACGAATTTAAAAGTTTTGAAAATAAACTATTATTGTGTTTAATGTGTAATAAGTCATACATTCATTACCAAATCATTTGGTAATCTAACCGAAACGTTTGAACGGTATCTTTGAGTTTTATGAAAAATTTCCACAATCTGACCACTGGCGGCACTGTTGAAAAATGAAATTTGTATGATGTAATGCCGGAGAAAACATCGAAATTGGTATCCGTGGCACGACTGGTTCCGCTACAAATGCACATGTACATGAATATGGAGCTACATGTGAGTGCACCTCGTACCGGGATTGATCTGTGTGCTGGGTCTACTGTGCCATATTTTCTCTTTTCCATGGAGAGTTTGTGCTCCTTTCTTCATGATTCACAATAATGCCAAACTCGTGTGTCATGTGGATGTACTAGAAATTCTGTGAAAGAACCGGGATTGAAATTCTTCGAGTTTTCCAAAGAATGAGAGCATTCTTCAAGTTGGTGCTGTGCATGCTATGCATGTCTATAGCTCATGCACTGTAGCATTTCCTGTCCATGGTAATACATCCCAGAATATTCATTTGATGCAAATGAATTGTGATGACACGTCCGTTTTTATAATACCGGACCAGACTCGCAGGAAAAATGGGTACAAAAACCTCTGTTTTTATTAACCCAAAAATGTGTACTGCAAAGGAGATATTGATATGTGCCATATTTATTAGACTTGGCTCTTCTGAATAGGATTCATTATGAGAAAAATAAGCATTGTTGGAGTTGGTCTTTAAGTCGACTAATATTTTGGTGAAAGTCCCTCACTGTCAAAAAGGAGAGAACCTGGTGGGATGAAGCCTTTTCTACTCTTGTCTTTTCCATGGACCGGTCATCTCTGTGTTGTACTTCACAGAAGTCGTTGATCCCTGTGCCAATAATAACTGTGATGCCAACGCCCAATGTGTACCATCTCAGGGAGGGTACCAGTGCTATTGCAACCAGGGATTCACAGGGGATGGATTCACTTGTGAAGGTAAGAACTGTGAGAAGTCATTCATTGTATAGTTGTGTTGCCGTGTCGGTAACAAATTACAAAAAAAGGATCCCCTTCGGTCCATTTTTCAGACTAGTTTCAATGGACTTTTTGAAAAGTTTTCTTCTTGTCACAATTTTCCTTAAGCATGGCTAATCTGTTATCATCTCTAGGCTCTGTTTCACTTGAAATGTACTAGTTCAAAACCGCCCCATTACAATTATTTTCCCTTATTCAATGACCAGATATCTGCTCCGTGCAGAAACAGAAGATGGCATTCTGTAACGCAGCAACAGGGGTCCTTTGGTGGGAACTAATAAACCACAAATATGCACAGGTCCATGCATGTGTTGGCACAGGCTGCGCTGAGCATAGCAAGCCAATTAACTGTCGGAGTGCTTTACGGATGCCCGGGTGAATTGGTTACCTCCAACCTGCCATTAAGGGGGGATATGGTGCGTAATGGTTGCATGCGTGTACTACAGCCTGTGTAGGCTTGCTCCGGTCTTCAATGCAAATTTGAAATGTCACACGAGATATTTTCTCTGTGAAATTGGAAAATAAAATGTTGGAAACATTTCATAATTTTGCTGGGAATATTTTGTGACATGATAATGGTAATTAAATTGTTCTTGTGAGGGGCGCTCTGCCTGTCTCACTCCACTGGAGGAAAATGTGGAGTGAGACAAGGAGGCACTTCCTGAAAAAAAATGTGTTTTAGTCGGAATTCAAAAATCTTGTTTTTTTAACTTGGAGAAGAATTTGTAGAAGAATGTTTGATTGAAAACAGTTGCATGGCATGCAGGCAGTGATAATCTGTAGCTAGAATTTAGTACATGTAGTTCAAGTTTGAACCTGAAAAATTGTATGTACCTTTGAATCCTGCTGGACTGAACGTGTTTTGTTTGAAGCTGTCATTGATCAAGTTGTTCTACTTTGAACCTAGCAATCGTTGATTACCGTTGCCGCAACAATCGGTGCTCGGTCAACGCCCGCTGTTTCCCCACACGGACCAGCTACAGGTGCTATTGCAATGCTGGTTACATAGGAAATGGCTTCACGTGCCGAGGTACCAGACCGTACGATAGTAATCATGTGTGGTAGTTTGTCAGGAATAAGCAGTTGGCCCAAAAGCGATTCCTTGCTTGATATTGTAGCTTGTCACACCGTTTGGTTTCACATGTAGACAGTCTGCTCAAACTAAAAACTTGCACATTAAAATATTGGAAATTCTATTCCAACTTGCGTTCTTAAGCTTTCTCCCTACATGTAGTCATGAATTGTTTGTATGCAGTTAATAATAGAATGCAGCTTTGTATATTTCTGCATCGTAGCACATTCTTGAGCTTACATAACATTGATTTCTGTCATCTTCTGGAATTCAAAAAGTTAAGCATTAGCAACATGAAGTGTGTACTTGTTGGTTAGCATCCAACAGTGTAA